GGACATGTCGTACGCTCGAAATCTCCCTGTATGAAGGAGGAATCGTATTTGACATGAGGGTTTTTTGAAAAGTCGATTTTACGTGTGTACCCACATGGCGCGCAGGTGGTGTAGTGACAAGTGGCGCGTTTATCATACGCGCGGTCCCGCGCCCAAATCCCGAGTCGACTCCCGTTTAGAACAGCCAAGCCCTCCTTCAGCCGGGGACGGTAGATTGGTGCCAGATTCGTCTAGGAAAATTCAAGTTCAGAAGTCAAGAAAAGAAAAATTCTTTCCGTGCGCGAGAAAATATTTTCCGGTTGTTGCCTTCTGCGGATTTCCCGTTTCACATTATAATCCTCCCTCCTGATGGGAAAATTAAGAGGAAAAAAACTGGCAATTTCTTGGAAAGTTCAGCAAAGAAATGGTCGCGTGTTGGGAAATATTGGGGAGATGGCAGTACTGGGGAAGAGAGGGAGGCGTACGAGAGAGGAAAGTTAGGGGATTGGTACTTTGCGAAAAACTCCTGCTAAAAATTCCCCCAGCGACAGAAAGTACCCTAATAAGGTTGAGCATTGAAAGAGGAAGGAGCTTCTAAGAAGCGCTGCTCAAGTGGTTTTCCTTCTCTCTAACTACTTTAGGCCGCGTTCATAGCTTGCGACCGTGAAGAAATGTGGAGATTAGAAGTGAAGTAATGATCTGCAGAAATGCCGAATTGCGGAAAATCGACACCTATCTAATCTCTTCCGTCATTTCCGCATTTCTTCAAATCAATGCGTATCTTATGCTTTTCGGCATTTCTGCAGATTCCGCATTTCTTCACGGTCGCTAACTATGAACGCAACCTTAGTGCTTTATTTGGTAACCATACGACGTGACCCATTAATGCCTGATTTACCTTACAACTGGCCCTCCCCCACCTCTGTCAATAAAGTACACCGAGGAAGCAGTACACATCACTCGGATGAAAGTTCTCGAATGACGTGAGTTCTCACGTGGTCAGATGTTTCGAAACGGGGCGCGGCAAGCGCGTCGATGTTTGCATCATTAACAGTCGATGGTCACTTGTGAGTTGCGTGGTGGACTATTCCATCATCTAAGAATGTTGGAAAGTTCCTACCCTCGTGGTGACTTTTTTCAGTAGTCCTTACCGTGCGGGAGAGTAAACAACTTCTTGTCATCGAGGTGATTTTACTATTGGGAGGCTTTATTTGTAGATTACTAAAACTATTAAAATTACCAGGTCTAGTCGAAGGTAGCGTCACACTTACCATTTGTTGCTGTTTTCATTAAGTTGTGGTAGAAAAGCTTTCCAGTCATGAATTTTCACATGTCGTCTTTTATCAGAGCTGATTTCATCGTTCCTTTCTTCTCCAACCTTCTAGTCATCAGTTTTTCTTGTTTTTTGTTTTCTTTTTTGGCTGTGCATTTGTTAGTGTACTTAACTGTTTTGAACGCTTAGATTTACTCTGATCATACTTTTCTAACTAAAATTATTCTAGTAGATCTCTGTTCCGTATTTTGTGTGCGACTGGCTGCCCTTATGACTTTTCGAAATGGGGCGCACCAAACGCGTTGACGGTTGCATCATAGCGGTTGATGGTTATTCCACAGTTCATATGGGTTAGACACGAAATTAAAGGTCAACTTATTCCTCACTTGCTTCAACTGTCGTACCATAGACTTATCTGGAATCTATTCCATCCGAATTTCCGATCCAAATCATTCAAAATCACAAAATTCAGCGGCATGAGTGAGAATTGTCTAGATCTAGGGAGCTTTGGATGGATAAACAGATCCTTCGTTGCGAAACGGGTTCTTGAATATTTTGACAAAATGTCCCACCTTACTTGGTGAACCCTATTTCCACCAGGGCGCTTCCTGTTGTTAGGGAAAACTTGCAATATATTACCCCCTCCCCCCTCCCTCCCCGAGATTGGAGGTACGACCCACCCCTTCACCATGTTATCACCACCTTCCCAGGTTTTCCAAAATTACAAGCAACTTCTAAATTCAGCTATCGAAAATAGTAGTTGTGTGGTGTGTGCGGGACCGCCGGTTAGAGGGCCACATAGCGCTTGTGAAACACCGTCGAGGTATACATGAATAACTGAGCATCGCGCCATTTTTGGCGCCGCGGAAACAGACTTATCTGGAGCCTTTTCTTATTCCTCTCGCGCTCTCGTCAAAGCCGTCAGAGAAATACAATGTCACACAGCCCGCCCCCCCCACGAGCCAACAGCCTCCCGCCCTTCCTCAATGAGATGCTCCTAAATTTGAGGAAGGTTGGGGAGGGGTGGACATTGTGGAACAGGAAAATCAAATATCAAAAAAGTTTTTTTTTGAGTGAAGTACGACGCCTTCCCTCCAGCGACCATTTACACCCCCGGCTCTTATGCTCAATGTCCCGGAGATGGGAGGGCGTGACTGCGTATTTCATTTGGACGTGGCTGCTGCTGCCCTTTCGATGAGGTGTCCCTGTTATAGGACAATTGTTGTAGTGTCTTGAAAAGAAGCAAGGCACGATGACATTGTCTCGAGTGAAAATGACCCGCGGAACGTTGTGTTGGAGTGGAGACGCAGTTCCTGCCTTCACAATCTCCAGGATACAAGGTATAACTCCCCAGAGTGCAGCCTGCCCTGATCTCTACCATGTTTTGATGGTAATTTTGTAACTTCATTCCTCTCTCGCTTCAACCGTCGTATATTGACATCTGTACATTTATCATCTTTATCATATGTTGGTTGTTGCAGAGAAGTGAGTTTCATATTTTCTTCACTGAATCAAAATGCTGTCGCGATTAGCGCTCCGGCCATCGCTTCTGATTTCTCCCAGTGTTCGTCAGTTATCCATGTCGGTCCTGAAAACGGCCCGTATGGGTCGCAGTAGCACCACCGGCATTCACCGATTCGGTGAACAAGCGGTAAGTCGATGTTGGTGAAACTGTTTCAACTTAGGATAGCTTCGAATAGCTTCAGTCTTTGCAGGGAATTGGTGTGCGTACCGGCAAGACGTTAAAGGAGCGGCTTTTGGGTCCAACTACTGGAGCACGTGAGTAATAAATTGTGTTCATCACTTTTCCCCTGGTCTTATGTTCAACAAGGGACAAAATTCCTGTTTCAGCTTACATTTACGGTACCTATGCGTTAGCTGGAGCTTCTGTATTCGGAGTTGGAGCGCTAATGTATTATGGATTGGTTTCCAAGGAACAATCAATTCTTCAGTCTAGCGCGTACGTTTTTGGCTTTCTGTTTTGTGCGCTAGCCCAGTGCTATACCTCATGACATGTCATGCTGAACTGTTACTCTTCCCGCTGTGGATGAAGGGGCGTGTCCTGCAGGACGGCTTGGCGCGGCGCCAAACCCATTTTTTACCAGTTGGTGAAGAGAGCAAGCGACAAAGGGAATCATATCGTGCATACATTCGTTTTCCACAGTTGTTGACGCTTATCCGCTTGACAGATTTTGAACGGCGCCGTGCCAAACCCATACCGCTGATCAAGCTATGGGTGCACGTGTAGAATTTTTCCTCCAGGTGGAATCATTTGAATGGAGTTGTTCCGTTATCATAATGCGACAGATTCGAGGGCCTATGAACTCTGAGAGGAGCCAGTCCGCAATTCACTGTCAGTGATATAGTAGACGCTATTTGAGGCAGGAGGTTGCGGAGGTGGTAAGATGCTTTTTGCTAATGGTGGAAAAATGGAATGCGCAAAATTGGTCATCTACCCTGCAGCTTCTTTCGCTCCTTAACTGTCTACTATGCCTTCTACTGGTCACAAAAAATTGCAAACTCGCCCTCCCCAGAAGCAGAGCGATTGAGTGAGCGAGTGATTCGCTCAATCTTGATGCTTTGTATTTAACTCTTTGGTCTTGCTACTTTTATTTGCAGAACAATATTGATTCAGGTTATGGCCAGCATATGTTCGCGAACGACTTGCATCGACGTACTCTTATTTGGCCGGCGGTTTGGCAGTGACAGCAGCCAGTGGAGTTGCAGCATCCCGTAACGCTGCCATTATGCGTCTTACGCAAGCAGGGGGCGTCATGGTCAGTGTTTGTACTATATTCTCTTCCTACGGTCTTTTCTTTTTATTCCTAAATTGTCTCTCAATTTTGGCCTTTCGACATTTATCGCCGTTTCGATAAACATGTGCTAATGTTCCCTCTGTCAGTAGACATCCTCAAACGGACGCAGACCCTGCGCTCAAGCTTCGTAGTAATCCTTCCGTGTGCAAGTGGTTTTGTGCTCAAGCTAAGAGATTGTCCCACCAGGGTACAGCATCGTTGTGTCAAACCCATGGGGGTCGTACTTTTGCTCTGGGGAGGGGGTCGTATTTGGAAGACAAATTTATTTTGATAGTTGATTTTTCTTGTGGAAAAGGGGGTCGTATTAATTTTTTATATGCACTATATGCATTTTGTACGCCCATGGGATGTACGTTGCATAATATTGTATACAGCCTGGACCCATTCGTGGGGGGTAGTACTCACGCCGCTATTCCGCCCGTCCCCATGCCGTGCCCGGTGTACCACCCCGCGACCCCACAGCGAGCGAGGAAGGTGCCACAGCCGCCGAACGTCGTGGCCACGACAACCGCTCCGCTGGACCGCCGCACCCCAGCGATTCGTGTTTGCCCAACATTCAACGCAGAGGCGCTCACGTCCTGTCACGTGCTGCCAAGGCGTAAATGTGAGTTGCGTGTCCATTTTTGCCGATGGCGCTCGTGCTACAAAGCAACTTTGCTCCCTCTATTAAGTTTTCTTCATTAAAAGTACACACACAGTCAGCAGCGATCCATCTCAAGGTAATACTTGCTCAAATCACCTAATACAGTTTTTGGTGCAAAGGCTCGATGTGCACTGCTACCGCAATCCTAACTTACTTATCAGCTACTGGTTCATAATTGTAAAGCCACTGTTCATGATACTTGATCGGGGGAATGGTCTTCAAAGCTCGTTCTCTAAGGTAATTTGCGCCAAAAACTAATCAGAAATCGATTACTAGGCCTTGCCTGGCAGCTCGTAGATAGGATAGCATACGTATTGGTAGCGTTGGGTTTCTTGCCATTGTGGTGCAGTTTTCCCATTCCCCAGGTCCGCGGATGTTGAATGGACTTGTATGGATGTGGCCTATCCTTTGCACACCATTGCAGTATATAAAGTGGACAATTCAGTAATAACTCGTGTACCGGAGATTGTGCAATTTTTCGCTCTTTTTTTCTACCGTGCGTATCCATGCAAGCACATAAGCAGCTATTTAAAGGGTCTCTTCGCTACATTAGCTGTAATTATTGGAACAGGAATGCTATGTCGATCTATCGACTACGACAGTACGATCGCCAAACATTTGGCATGGATGCTCCATTGTGGTACGCCTTTATAAGCACTAAACTATGAAGCTCGCAATTTGTTTCTTGTTTCTGGATAAGGCCCTCACTCCTTGCTGTTCAGGTGCTATGGGTGCTGTACTTGCACCACTGGTCTACATGGGTGGACCAGTGCTGATGAGAGCTGCTTGGTACACTGCTGGTATTGTTGGAGGTACGTTTACTTTTCATACGTCTGATATCTAAGTTTAGGTGTTTCGAATATCTTGTATTAAAGCTTGCTTGTTGTTGATTTAGAAATTTCTTTCGAAAACTGGTAACATAGGATTGTTTTAAGGTCTTTCTGCGACCGCTATCACAGCACCATCTGAGAAATTCTTAATGATGTCGGGACCGCTTGCAATGGGATTGGGAGTTGTGTTTGTCGCCAATATCGGCACGTTCTTCTTCCATCCAGGGAACTGCCCTTGGAGCGGGTTTGTTTTCTTTCGCTACAATCACTTATCTCGGTGTGCTCTAAGGGCTTTTGGCTAGAAACTAGGAAGAAGGTGTGCAGCTGAAGGAAAGGGGCAGAATTGTTCAGAAAGTGGGCTAAAAGCTCACCTTTAGTTTTTTTTGAGAGTTTTATTTCAGGTTTGATGTCGATCGTTATGTATGGTGGCCTGATTCTCTTCTCAGCATTTTTACTGTACGATACCCAACGTGTCGTAAAGCACGCTCAAATCTATCCTCGCCGCGAAGAAATGTACGGAATGCCAGTGAGCATCAAGAGCTACGATCCTATCAACGCGTTAGTTATTTATTCTGATCAGTTTGATTGGATGTTGAGATTGAGGAGGGGGGGGGGATAAATTTCCTTGGAAGATTTTCAGCATTTGGATGACTTTTCGGCCCTGCTGTTTTTGGCATATCCCAGGGTACTCATTATAGTAGAAATGCTTGACAAGAGACTATGGTATGTTTCGAATTTGGCAGGCGCGAAAACAATGTTGAGGTTAAGCGGAGGGGGGAGCGAAGATCTACAACATTTTTTTTCTTTTGAGGTTATATTATTATGCACATTTTGTAGAACGTTATTTGTATGGATGAACTTTTCAGCCAGCTTTCAATCTACATGGATGTATTGAATATCTTCATCCGAATGGCGATGATCATGGGCGGTATGAGCGGAAATCGAAGGAAGTGAGGAAGCCGATTGCACAATACAGAAAAGACGAAAATTTTAACTATTGCTTAGAAACATCTAGTACTCGTCAGTGAACTTGTGACTTGGTCTTTGAATGTATAAACTGTGAATAAAGAGGATATTTAGGATTCGCTTAGTGTTTCATGTTGACGACATGTGGGTGGGCAGCGTTCAGACTCCGCGCTGACGCGCTCGATTTGTACAGTTGATCGGTATCTGTCCAGCACTAGCAATCTGCGGTTCTGTCTACAGCTTTGGAGCGCGGATGATCGATGCGCGTTACAACGCATCGACGCGCCTCATTGAGAAGTCTCAACGCTGCCCAAAAGGAAGATACATGATCAGGAATATCGCATAAGTTTTTGACCTTGGCGGCGTTTATTGCCATCACTTTTTCCGCCAAATTCGATATAAATTTGAATACCCGGGTTATCCGGTGATCGCAGAGACGGATATCGTATTAGATTTTAACGCTGAAGTTGCTGAGTGCCAGTTTTGCGCCACACTTTTTCCATTAAACTAGGTGTAATCTTGCATTCTGGGATTCCTCCCAGTGACTTGAGTGTTCCGACCACGAATACGACGTTCGTTTGGCACGAAATGGCTAGCCGCACGCGTTACAGGCAGCACGTGCTTGTTTTGACCCCGGCTCGCGCATCGCGGACTTCTGGCTGTTTCGTACCATACGGTGTGCTAGGGCAGTTGAGACATGTGGCCATACCAGTGAGAACCCTCTTCTGGTTGCATGCAGTAGCGATTCTTCTCTTCCTGAGGCTCTGCCTTACTAGACGAAGGGGACCACTATCTCGAGAGAGGGACGCTTACAAGCGGAGACGGCTTCGCTGTTCCTTGTACCTCATTTCCTCCATCCTAAAGTCAGTTAATGCCCCGTGCACACGTGGTATATATATACTCCAGTTCGCTGCGGACGGTTGGGCGTGTCAGGCAGTATGAGTGTGTCACGCCGTCAAAGCCGTTCTCTGCCTTCTTGTTGAAGCGCGCATGCGACAAAAAGTGGTAGAAAACGAGTAATACGAACGATATGATACAGTCATATCACTTGCTCGCTTTAACAACTGGTGGAGAACGGGTTTGGCACCGCGCCAAACTCATCCCGCCTGACACGCCCAACCGTCCGCAGCGAACTACACTGTATATCGATGCTCAGAAAGTCAAACTACCCCTGGAGACAGGTTTTTATCGAGTTCGGTGATTTAAGGTATCTTGGCGACAGGGCACGTTGTGATAATCACCACATGGGGAGGGTCGTACTTCGACCGCGAGGGGGAGGGGTCGTATTTGGTCTGAGAAATTTTTTTTGATTGTTGATTCTCTTGTTTCACGGACGCTATAAAAGGGGATGGCTCGTACTTGCTCGTTGTTTGGAGGGGGGGGGGTCATACTTTGAGAGGAATTTGCGGCGTTTCCCGGTTGTTGACCTTTTGCGGTTTTTACCTTTTCGCTAGTGTTATATAGCCCATAGTTGGCGGCGCCGCCAAGGTTCAATACAAGTACTATTTTCGATAATTGAAAATAGTAGTCAGTTCCTGATGACCCCTCCCCCCACCCTCCCCGGTCGACAGCTCGAAGCGGAATTTCGGGGAAAAACTAGAAATTTTTTGAGAACTGCCGGAAAAACTGGTGGGAAGTTGGAAAATCAAGAAAAGCTACGGTAGATGAGGAAAAGGAAGGGGGAGCGGCGTATGTTGGCAGGATTTATCACAACGCGATGACGTGCCCTGCTTGGCGCTGATGTGTGAAGCGCCCATACCCCCTACAGTTTTCAGCTAATTTGGTGGTCTAGGGCCTGCGAAGCGAGCGCCATACGGTTTCGGACTAATTGTAAGTGAATGGGGTTTTTGCTCAGCAGGTCAAACTACTTATTGGGCAGACAGCTTAGCAGCAAATGTGATAATAGGGTATTTGGCGCCGGCGCCAGTGGGCCGCGTTCATACAGACGGCATCCGCGGCATCCGTGGCCTCTGCGGAATTTTCAGAGCAAGCAAAGTATACGTATCGATTTGGAAAATTCCGCAGAGGCCGCGGAGGCCGTGGCCTCCGCAGCCTCCGCGGCCTCCGCGGCCTCCGTGGCCTCTGCGGAATTTTCAGAGCAGCAAAGTATACGTATCGATTTGGAAAATTCCGCAGAGGCCGCGGCGGCCGTGGCCTCCGCGGAGGCCGCGGCCTCTGCGGCCAAGCGCGAAGCGTACGCGTCGCGGCCTCTTCGTTGGACGCCGAAACTTATTCGAAACTTGATAATCAGCGTGCTTAATTCCAGTTTCCCTCTGATTATATGTAGTACGTGCATAGTAATTGGGCGAAGAGGTGTTTTTGAGTGGGGATGGCACTATTCCAGCATTCATTGTTGCCACAATGCACCATTCTACACGAAAACCATATTTTTCATCCTCCGGCTTAGAAATCGCTGTGCATGGTGAAAAAAGAAAAGATTTTCAGAAGCAATTCGAACAAAATCCTGGAAGAAACCCATTTGAAAACATTTCAAATTTTCACCATGCACTTATTGTCCGGGAAAGCATTGTGGAATAGGAAAATGGATGAGAATGAAAAATGGAAAAAAAGTGGAAACGAAATAGCGAAGCCTTACCAGCTTCTGCAATAATTTCTGACCATTCTTCAATTTTTTTGGCGTATAAACGCCCTAGCATTTATGCGCATTCTTCGAAAATAGGGAAAAACTGCTTTGTGTCCACGCGGCAGACACGCGAAATGGCGCCTTGTCGCCAATGTGTTAAAAAGGGACACCTCCAAGGGCGAAATTTTGCTGTAGTTGAGTTCCCATTTGTTGGGACCAGTTGAACCAGATCAGCTGAAACCCATTTTTCAAGGTATTGATTGCGTTCGAGCGTTCCCGTCAAGAGGCCGCGACGCATACGCTTCGCGCCTGGCCGCGGCCCTCCGCGGAACGGCGCGGTAGGCCGCGGCCGCCCGCGGAGGCCACGGGCTACGCGGAGGCCACGCGCTACCGCGGGTGCCGTCTGTTATGAACGCGGCCTGTGCGGGCGCCAGGCCGCTTTCACGGCAATTCGCGAATGAACATTTCGTGTTCACGAGGTCAGACTGGTCAACAGAAGGAAGCAGCCACATCTGGCTAGCAGAAAAAAGGTCGGGCAGACCTGGCCTCATTCCGGAAAAATGGGATAGTAACAGTTCGATTGTGCCGAAAAGACGTGAGAAACGATGCATCCCCCAACAATCCAAATGCGTTTGGATCATTGAAACTGCAGGAGAGCTCGTCTATGCAGAGGCAAACTCGTACGGTGTCAGGATGAAGAATGAGTCATATGCGGCCTTCTGAAAACTTTGAGCACGCCGCCAGTGTACTTCATGTCCCTAAGAATAAGATGACAGCGATTAGAGTGAATGTACGAGAGAGTTTCCTTCCCGAGAAAAAATTTTTGGTAGTTGATTTTTTTTTTGTTTCAGGGCGCTTTCGCGAATCGGGGTTGGCCGTGACTGACTAAGCCCTCCACACAGACCTAAGCGATATTAGTTCAAGATCCCAGCGGCACTACCAGTGACACAACTGCCTCACGCTCTCCCGGGACTCCGTACGTTTTGCTCGCCACGTGATAGACCATCGCCTTCCGGAGGACTACGCGCGGCACTGCCGTTGGCAGGCTGCAGGGACGTAGCCGCTGCCAGCATATCCCGTGATGGGTCCGAGCTTTCTCGTCGTTCCGCCCTGGACCCTAGTACTCGGTCGCCCGATCACTGGTGTACAGCGTGTCTAGCGGTCTATGTACACACGCACCTAACCCACCATGACTATACAGGGAGCACAACCACGATGATAAACGTACAACAAAACAGCTACATTACAACGAACTTAAGTCCCCCAAGATCCTAACGGTAAACGGCACACCCGAGTGCACGCCGGCTGCGGGTTGCGGCTACAAGCTGGAGAGACAAAGACCTATCACTACTTTACAGGTCTCGGTGCCATTGAACTATCTGTGTCCAGGTTTGACATAGGGTCGAGCAAGCACCTGTCACAAGTTTCTAGCGAACTCTGCGACAGACACCTTCACGATGTGGAACGCTATCGCAATATACAGGGGGGGGGGGCCAAAAAAAAGTCACTTTGCTTCATTGACTTTCGAGGCGCTATAAGTTACACTTTATTAAATTCTGATCGGACATTTTCACCACCATTGAAGAGCATATTAAATACTATCATGACACTCCGCCACAGCCTTCTGGACGAGCGCCATCGAGAGATTCTGGCACGCGACCGCGATGTGGTACCTGAGATCAGCGAGATAGTCGATTTCTCCGCCACCGTAGACCACCCTATTGAACTCCGCCCGAACTGGGTAATTGAGGGGATTCAGGTCAGATGACCTACTTGGATATTCCATCTTTTTCAGGTACTCAGCCTCCTTCCATTCCAAGTAGGCGAGAGTTTCTCCAGTGCCCTTCGATGAGGTGGCACCAATGCTGTAGCTGTACAAAGTTTCCAAGAAGGTACGGGCGACGACATGTTAGAAGGATATTTTTCACGAGTTGGTCGATGTAACCGCCAGCGCTCACTTTCAGTCCGGAGTCCACGCAGAAAATATTGGTTTTTACATTCCAGGTACCTCCGGTCCATACCATCAACGCGCGCCTTGGCGACTGTGGTGAGATGATGTCTTAGACCGTAGCGACGTTGTGCTTGCTCGATGTTGGAGGTCTTCCAGATCGAGAGTACTGGTCTCCAGGTAGCTATCCATGGGTGACTCCATACTAGAAGTTTCGCAGCTGTTTGGAGGTGACGTGAATTCCAAAGGTCTTCTCCAGTCAGGCTGCGACTGGAGATGACTTCATATTTTGGTGTACATGAAGGATGGGCGGGAGAGTCAGCTCCTACTTATCGAGGAACATCTTGGGTATCTTTCGCCCTGGTATCTATCCTCCGTTCTCTCCCTGGGCAGCGAAAAAACGTTTTGTGATATGGGGTACGCCGGTACCTTCCTCGAAGTGACGTTTTTTGCCCCCCCCGCCGTATATATGAGCCGCTCTCCACCTAATTTCCTACTTTAGTATGACACTCCTACCCCATCCCACCTAC